AAAAACCTTCTATTATGAGATAAGCGCCTAATATAAGATAGCGGCGTTTCTGTTAAACTAATAAATCTAAACTAATAAATCTATTGGTTTCACTATGAATTTATTGCTCTTAGATTGAAAATTCTTTAGTTGAAAATTCATTATTAGATGCCTATAATCTTGTAAAAAAAGATTTTAAAATTTGGATGTTTTCAAGTTTCATTGAGGTGAGCCTTTAAATCTTGTTTATTATTTAAGTAAATATTTGGCAATAAATTTTTCATGTATAGAGTCATGATAGAGTAAGATTGTATTAATAGAAAAATACGAGAATTGCTTAATTACAGATGTTAGATTTGATGATCATAAATGTGGAAATCATAATATGAAATATCCAGAATATTTCTAATAAATGAAATAACCTAAATGCTCCTGTATTATATATATTTCATATATGAAAATCGTTGCTAAACTATGAGTGTTATTGTATAATAATAAAAAGGACAATCGGAATGAACATCGACTGCTTGTTTCTGCGATGTTTACAATTAGTTTTACAATTAGTTTAACTACCTGAAGACGAGTCCTGGGTACATTGCATCGCATGCTCATTTTGCGTTCACACTGGTTATATCTGTTTGTATTTAACATTACACGTTTTTAATTGCAATACTGATGTACTTTGCGTTTTATTATTGATTTCTCGGATTATGTCATATTAGGAGCACAATTTTTTGATTTTGCAATTTGATCACTTTTTACATTTCTTTAATTTTCAGAAAAAGAATAAGAAGAATTAAATTTTTTTATATAACATTATCTTAAAGCTTATTAAATTCCCTTCAAAATGACCTATTATTTTTTTAAATTCTGCTTATAGACTTCTAGCATTTATCCAAAATCAACTCGATATCTCATAATAAGGGCCTTTCCTCTGTGTGTGTGTGTGTGTGTGTGTGTGATATAAAAATATATATAATATTTTTTATTACATTTATAAATTTTCTAATTGCATAATTACTCGTGCGTGCAACAGGTGTAGGTGTTACCGCCTCAATATATACTATTATGGCTATGAGCATCGATAGATATCTGGCCATAAGAAATCCCATGATTCTTCGTTATATATGTAGTCATAAGAATATTATTCTCGTTATCGTATCTATTTGGCTGGCATCCATGGCATTTTTTATTACAATCTATGGAGCGGTAAGTCTTTTGCTACCAAGTCTGTGCTGATTAATTGTCAAATTGTTGGAAACTAATGTTGAAGTGAAGACTGTTACATCTATTTTATATATGTACACTTTTTACATATTTATGACACAAATGAATGATCTTTCTTTTTACTCAGATGAGACTCCAGGATCCAATGACGGAAGTCATCAACAAGGCTCTGGACTTGGCAAGCGAGAATTTTACACACAATAGCATCTCGCCAACACCACCAGGTTTCAATATGTGCATAGAGGATTTCATGTCATTAGGAATTAGACGAGACGTTTTTGGGAGCATATACTTCGTATTCTCTACCGCTATTCCATGTAAGTTTAAATACATATATAAATATTTATTGTTGTTTCTGTGATATTACAAGAACCTCTTCTTAATTTTTTTCATAACAAACATGCATACAAATTCTTGTTTTCATATTGCCATATATAAATCTTAATAATCTACAGTCTAATTTAAATTTGACTCTATGTATAAGCAGGTGTGCTTATATATGCGTATATTATTATTTCAATTTCCGTACACAATGCTTTCTGAATAAAGGCGATTAAATTAATATTAACTCGTTATTTTTTATTAAACAAAAACAATATTACATCTTTTAAGAAGATTTTTACTCTTGCACAAGCACATGATTGGAACACATAGTTAATAGTCTTTGTTTTTTTTCTTTATATGTTTTCTTACTGTATATTTAGGTCTCGTTGTATTACTAGCCTACTCGATGATTGGCTTCACTCTTTGGTCTAAAAAGCCACCCTTTGATTATGATAACAGGGAAAGTGTCAGCTCGCGGCAGGTCAGATCAATGAGAGATCTAAAATTTTGTTAAATTATTAGCAATAATTTTAAAGTTTTCCTAAAAACGCAGCCGAATTCCGAAAATTTGCGAGATCTATTCTAGATACGCTGATATCTTTTATTCATAGAGCTCCAAATTACGACATGAAAGAAAACGAGTTGCATTGATATTACTATTCCTCGCTATACTATTCGCTCTGTGCTGGATGCCCTACAATATTGCCAAATTTTTTATTGATCTCGACGTTATCGGTAAGTGCGAAATCTTGCAATAATTTATATTTTGCAAAGATAAATATTTTGTACCTAAAATATCAATTATAAGTACTTGATATATTTCCTATTTCTAGTGGTTTCTCTAACTGATCTTCAAATAAATTTTGTAATAAAGAGTCTATATATAATAATAAAAATAATCTAGTCTAAAATAAATAAAAATGCAATCTTTTTCATGTCGATAAGTACAGATTAATTAATTTTAATAAATTTCTTATACATTTTATTTACAGGCCCATCAACGTCAACAAATAACACACTGAAGTACTTCCTATTTTTGGGACATGCAAACAGTGCTTTGAATCCTGTGGTCTATTGTTGGATGACCCGTGGTTTTCGTCAAAAACTTGTGAAGATTTTATGTTGTATCTCCACTAATCTATCGCATCTTTTGCGAAGAGTAAATTAATTACACATTTTTTTCATAAATTCTCAATTTTTTTATAAAGTTAAACTAATAATCCCTTGCAGTAAAATCCTTGCTTTTCTGAATGAATACAAATTGAAATAATAATTATGTGGATCTCTAGACATTAGACAAGACAGTTATCAAAAATATTTTCATAAAAAAATGTTTTTTTTTATTGAATTCTCTACACACTTAATTAAATGGTTCAATATTTGAGAAAAATGACTGATATTGATATAAATTTCTTAGATAGAATACAAAATCATAAAAAAATCAAGATTTTCAAATTTCGTGCTAAATGCAGTTATTAATATTTATTTTTTTGTGCTTTAGTGTCGTGCTAGATTTGCAAAGTTACTACATTTTCTATTTTATTTTTTAGTGTATAGGATGAATGTGAAACTTTTTTATTTCTCTAAGGAATTATGAAAAATGCTATTGCTAATATTTTTATCATATTATTAAAATGTCATGCTAACTTTACGATATTAATGTTAAAAAAATGATAGTTTTTAGTATTTTTCATATTAGGTGTACAAATTAATTCGGTGCTTTTATCGATGACTTTATCGAGTTAAAATCGTCAAATTTCTTCCGCGAGGGCAGTCGTCAGTTACCCGAAAGATGGTATAAAATCATTAAAAACAATAAAGACTATTTCGAATATCAAATGTATATTTTTTTTTGTGCGAATAACTTTAAATTATGAAAAAAAGACATCGAATTAATTTGTATATTTTTTTTTATATATTGTTCTACAGTTCCTTATAAAAATAAAAAAGAATTCCGCATTTTTTATGTTAAAAAAAACAAAATTAAAAATATGATCCCCTAACTTCGTTAATCTCGACTGATAACATGAAAATTAGTCATTCTTTTTACATTGTTGCAGAACGCGATGACGATCGCTGATGACGTGCCATGTATCCCTTGTAAGCGAAAGTTAATAACTGTGACAAAGGAACAATGTGTTCTAGCAGAACAACAACAAAAAAGTTTTATATCATTTCAACAGCTTTTCTCAGGACGCAGCAATTCATATCATTTAAAACGTATCAACATTGAATTGAAAAATATTTATGATAATTCGAATATACAGATTGCTCCAGGACATAATAGGAGGGATCAACGACAGAATAAGGACAAATATGAATTAAAGAGCAGCCAATTAGAGTCGAGTACTTTATGTACCACAGACGGACAACGTTAACTAGCTGCTTCACTGTGCCAATTATTTTTTTTCTGAGAACAGGCGTTTATTATCAATTGTTTCCTCTTTAATAAAAAGACTCTTTCTTTTTTATTAAAATTTTATTCTCACAATACGAATAGCACGTAATAAGTCCGAGCGCTGTCGATCATCGCTGTGCAATGACATTACGACACAAGGTATGATACAATGAGATTTGTACACTAAATCGATGATAAATATCTATTATAGTAGTGCGTACGTGCATATATATATGCGTATGTCGTGTACGTATTCATATATTCACGTCATACAAATAAAATGGCATAGAAAAATATGTATGCTCCGCTGTATGGCCCCACGTGAATCGTATTGCTTACGTCCTAAATTCCTACATTTTTCGTATTCCCACGGGATAATCATTGCAGTCTCCATGCAATTTCTGTTCTTTATTTCATTTCTGCTGTTTGTTGAAATGGATGATTGAAGGTACTACCAATTGCGATGATATTTAAAAAAAATCATTCATTTCTTTTTTCATAAAAACAAATTTTGATTTCTTATTGTCTTGTTATATGATCTCATTTATTGTCGCATTTTCGTTATAAAAAAGAAGAGAAACTACATTCAAATTTCATCTCTCATTTGCCTTTTCGATATTTTACGTAATATAAAAAGTAACTATGATAGGAGGTAGTAATCTTGAAGATCATATTTATTTCCAAATATTGATATTTTATTTGTGTGTTCCTGGGAATGAAATCGTTTTTGACTCCAATTATATCCGTGGGAACTCGAAAGCACATTGATACCATTAATTATGCATCTACTTTGTGTAAAATTTGTTTATTATTTACTCAAGAATCTTAGATCATGTTCACGTTCGCATGAGGCGATATGCTTCTTGCACGAGGATGAATGAACGAACTTTTAGGATAATCTACGACGACCGCCTGTTTCTTATCGCGGAATTAATAATAAAAATTTTTTTTCACTGTTGCTATACAATTGTTTGTACAGCAAATTATAACACAAATATAAAAAAAGATTGCATTAAATGTGAACTATATATATAATTACTACAAAATGTTTGCATTACAACAAACTACAAGACGAATATAAAAAAAATTATCGATAAAATATCAATTATATATATTATTATAAAATAGATCTAGAAGAAATAGAAAAAAAATGATATTCCTTAAAAATATTGTGTATTTTGTGTCCGCATCGATCTAATTGCAAGTTGAAAATGTTTCAACTATAGATTTTTTCTAAATTCCGTCCATAAACTCCGCGTGTAAAGATCCTCGAGACGCTCGAGAACGCATTCCGCAAAAAAAATCTCGCTGAAAAGAATTCGTGTGCACGATCGGTTTGAACGTTTCGTCTCTATCTAGATTTTCTCGAAAAAAAAGTGAAGCGATCGTCGCATTATTTTCCCATCTGATCGTTGTTCATCATCCTCGGGGAAGCCTATCCGCACATTCACCATCCTATAGTCCCATTACAGAGATCCTTGTAAACCGATTCTGCTATTATGCCATGACTCTGACTGTTCAGAAACCTCGATTTGTTGCACGTTGTCGACGGTCTCTTCTGACTGACGTAGTTGACATCGAAGCTGTGCTTCGCGTGTAATCTGCTGCCCTGTCCGCGCGCCGCATTTTTAAAACAATTGTTGGTTGTCACAGTATCCACGGCGAATGATTTGTTGATGAAGTTGTCCCTACCGCGACAAGAGGTGCGATTCCGCACTTGAGGTTGCTGCTGAGTCAGCAACGGCACCTTATTGAAATAGTTGCGGATGGTCTGGGACTGGTGGCCGATACATGACGATTCCGGACTGCTAACCCCTGTGGTCCTGATGTCCATGGTTCTGATGACAGTCTTTGCAACGTTGTTGGGTTGTTTAATATTCGGACTGTTGCTGATCCTGATCAGCTTCGTCGGCATCTTTTTAGACCAATGATTGTCGCCACGACAATCAGATGCCGAGGTGAAGGGCCTTGGCGCCTGTGTTTGTTGTCTGCTGACTCTTCGCGGTTTGGTGCGTTGTGCTGTTGTTGTTAATTGGTTTGATCGGCCTCTGACACCGTACTGAAATTGAAGAAATTCCATAGGCACGATGAAATATCGATACGAATGTATATAGTAGCGTGAATTGATTTTGATGTATGATTATAACATTTGATGTATGACTATTGACAAAAGTGCAGAGTACATATATGATGAAAACTGAAGTTCGATTGTGTATTATACAATTTAAAGAAAAATACAAAAATAAGCAAATTTATTAGAATTTTATTTTATAATTTCATTGGTCAACAGTAAATTAAAAACTAGTAAATTTGCTCACTTTTGTAATTTTAACCAATTGTGATGCATAATTAAATCCTGATCTTGAGGAGGATGCATAATTAAACTCCTGAGGAGGATTTATCAACGAGTTTAATTCTGTGGTAATGAAACGTGTTATTAAAAAATATTTCAGCATTTTTATATCGTGCAATAAAATGATTCGATATAGTTAAAATTGCAAATTAACTTTATAAAATTTCTTTTATTCAAATACGATAGAGGAAAGCCAAGAACGGAAAAAAAATCAAATTTGGATTTCAAATAATACATTATATATTCTTGTATTAAATTAATTTATTTCAGACATAAGACACTCTTCCTGAAAAGTTGAGAGGTCTCAGGTTCGAATTCTGGCTGAAATAATATTTTTTCACAATAAGTTTCTTACTTTCTTTTTATTTATTCTAATTTAGAGGGGTTTATTAGTGAATGAGAATGATTGTGTTGAATGATGATTGTGTTGAAACCGAAAGTTTTTCGGCTCTCAATGATATCTGAAATAAATTAATTTAATATAAGAATATATAATATATTATTTGAAACATCCAAATTTGATCGTTCTTGGCTTTCTTTATCATATTATTTGATTATGTATTCACACATACAGTCGTGTTTAAAATTCTTAAATGTTTCTTTTATTACTTTATCGTTATTTAAAATTTATTTATTTTCTTATCAGGATAAAGAATTATCTAAACTATATTATTTATGCGGCACTTGCCATTACGGTGGAGTTAAGAATTTATTTTCAAATATGTGTATAGCGTGCATAAATTAATGTCGAATGCAATCTGCTAGGTGATGCATAAAATGAGTGGTTACAGTACCTACTAAACGCAAATCCCACACGACATGCAGCCTGTAATAACAAAATTTACCGTTTACCTTCCCGTGATAAGATGATTCTTAACAAGGAGGCGACAGAGCAAACATGGAGGAGTGTGAAATAAACAATAAAATAATTTTACACTCACCATGACCATCTGATCTGATTGAATGGAACGCTGGGATTTCGACAGCTGCTGCTGATTAAAGTAGAAGCAACTTTTGGCCGCTGCTGGAGGTATGTTTCCGTTCGTCAAGTTACATGCGTACTGTGTCGCCACATTTTTAACTGTCAATTTATCGCAAATGCAGTAATTGAAATTTTTTGGAGATCAATATAATCTCGATAAATTTAATTTCCGATGTTACACACACACACACACACACACACACACACACACACACACACACGCGCGCGCGCGCGCGCGCGCGCGCGCGCGCGCTCATCAATTAATCTCCATACTTATCATAAAATTGAAATATTATTAATGTAAGATTCTTACCATTATGCCGGGTGTTTGTTAAGGTCTTCTGTGGCGGATCTATGGGATTGTTCATCGTCTGTGGTCTTGTAACGCCTCGCGGAGTATCACTCTGAGATGGCCTGATTGTCTTTTTGCTTGGCAATGACGAGCACGCTAAAAAGGAAAGTTTGTAGAAAAATAAACTGAAAATTAATAGCATTAATAATATTGAAATGCTTGTCAATTTAATTTGTCATATTGTATTACTCCAACTTTGGTTTAGAATTGTGTTTCAAGACTGACAAATAATCGACGTACAATTTGCTTGAACTGGAAATTATATAAATTTACAAGAAATATTATTAGGTATGAACAACTGCTTTGACCGAATATGGCATTTTTTCGCCCATATATGTTTAGAAATTAATAAAATGAAATTGTAGGAGCTGAAGAAATCTCATTTAACATTCCTCTCACCGACAATCGTATCACCTTGGCCGATCACCGGGTTACTGCTACTGTTTCTGGTTTCCTTTCTAATGCTTTCAGACAATCGCCGCAGTCTGGATTTTGACCTATAAAAATAAAGAAAAAAAAAAGAAAATCGTTATAAAATATATAAATCTATTTTTATTAAAATTATTTTTTATAAACAAATAGAGAGATCCAATTACATATTTTAATAATGCAACTTTGAATAAAGCAATAATCACTGACTATGAATAAATATATGCTCACATATTTTTATGTTTCCGATGTTTTTCGTCCATCATCGCATACAGCTTATTTCTATATTCGTCGACTGAGAGTTGCACATCATCACTCAACAATGGTATGACACTGGAACCCCTTTCCGGTTCGTTTCCTCTCCTATGAAAACTGTTGAAAAGAGAATTT